GAGCTGTGGTAGAGAATGAGGCCAGGGTTTGGTTTGTATGTGTGCAGAAAGAGGCCACATTGCCAATGTAATGGTTGTCACTAAATTGAAAAATATTACCACAATAAAGCAATATTAGGACAATATTATAGTAAAACATCAAAAGACAATCATATTAGTATTGTAAACACTGAAGTATTGAGATTAAATAATATTAAACTATGGTGCAGTAATGAGTAGATACAGCAGGGGCAGTATTGGACCAATACAAGGCTCTATTGACTCCAATTATAAATTATTAAACATTAATATTTCCAAAAAATATAAGTTGTACAGGCAACAAAGGTCATAGCCATCATTTGGCACAGGAGTTTTACAGATATAAATTACAATGGCTGCTCTAGGACAAAGTGTGCAGGAGGAGAAGCGTKCCAAAGTGGAGATGACTTGGATGAGAAAMGAATCACAATAGTGTGCATTGGCAATGCACACTGATAAGATATCTGACAGCACAAGTTTGGTGAGTTTTTCCTGGGCACAACCCAAATACTTAACTCTGCTGCTCAATTTACAAACTGTCCTTACGTTTTGTGCTAAGTTTATTTACTGCACTGTTTCCAGWGTTAAATGTAAATAAAGGGAGGAAGCATCCTGACACCTCTTACTGGGATTTCTACTTTAAATACCACTTTTTGCAAAATAAAAGCCACAAGTTTCTTTACTGTACAAAATACAGAACAAATAAACATAAAATAAATAATATACTGTACATACCTCTGCTTCACAAATGAACTCTTCCACAGACAAAATACAAATGATATCATCGAGACAGCAAATACAATCATGAGCAGAGGGTACAGCTGGTTGTCCTCTGCAACAAAGGCAGTAAAACACAGCCATGATGAATATACTTAGCTCCATTAAGAGAAATAAAACAATAAAAGGCCTAAAATTCCTTAAAGAGGACCATATCACCAGAGGTTTAAACTAAAATCGTGTGCTAAGAAGCTGTAGAGTTATYGTGAGCTGGATCAAACCTTGTAAATTCAGTTTTTCATAAACTCATGTAACATTGTGAGATCTGGCCTGATGTGATAGCACTCAATGTATCAGTCAATCAAACTTTATTTATAAAATGCTATAACATCAGCCACTGCTGAAACAAAGTGCTGAACACATGAAATAAAAAATGAATACAAAAACACAATAAAACCACACAGTTACATAAGTAAAATCAGCACCAATACAGTAAAAGTTGAGTAAAATCAAATCTCAGTTGGGTTGAAGGCCAGTGAGAAAAAATACTGTATGTTTTTAAATGAGTCTTAATGGACAGTGAAGAGGCCTGTCGGACATGCAACGGCAAGGCGTTCCACAGTTTTGTTGTATTTATTAAAACCACCTTAAAATATTGAATAAAGCTTTAGCATTTCAAAGTTTTGTGCATTAGTTTAAATTGAAGTCTGAACAGTGGATTCACACATCATCCTCTATGCTGTCTTTTTTTATTTAAGAGTTTCAAGCTTATTTTTTAAAAAGGTTTTTGTTCACCTTCAATGTAGAACTTGATTTTTTGACCAGGTGGACCTTCTCCTTCGGCAGTTGAAGCGCTCATCCACAGACTGTAGAGCGCTGGAGACAGACCTCTGATCATGTGCTTCCTGTGTGACGCTCCTACAGAGACTAAAACACACRGCAGGAAAGGCTGTTTATGCAACAAAATACAATTTGTTTCTGCACAAATGACACAAATACACAATAAAGAACTTAAAATAGTTTGTAATTATGTTTGATCTGCATTCACACTTTTATTAAGAAGACATATTTTTCTCTGATGCTTTTAACACCTGCCACCATGAAAGGTGGGCGATGACGTATTTGCCTCTGCTCTATGTGTGCACATGTATTCATGTCTGTTAAAAAAGTCATTAATTCAATCAACCATTTGGAGGATATTTGGGTTGCGCTTCAACTCGCCTAGGGCACTAAAATGGCTAGAGCCAGCACTGCTTTAACTATACCATTTGGTGTTCAGCATGAGTAAAGCAGGGTGAGAACTTTGTACCGTGACGCTTTTGAGCCACATTGGGCCTCATGCAAGAACCGTTGGTACGCACAGATTTGTTCTTAAGTTGTGCGTACGAGTGATTTAGGAGAATTTGTGACATTCACCAATGTTTTCGTATTCTAAGATTTTTTTCAGATACAAACAAAATTCAGGAGTGGTCCAGACCTGTCGTATATTTTACCAGCAGTCAGTCTGCTGTTATCCAGACGGGTTTTCTTCACTAATAACTTTATATTTCATTAGTTTGAAGATATTTTGAGTTGAAAATAAATCACACTCCATAATTATGTTGACAATAGGCTATTCTGCTTGAATTAGAGTTATAATTTTAAATGTAATAATTTAGACTAACAATATAAATTGTCCGTTCGTCCGTTTTCTGCCGCTTATCCAGGATCGGGTCATGGGGGGCAGCAGAGAGACCCCGCTCTCCCCAGCGACACCTTCCAGCTCGTCCTGGGGGACTCTGAGACGTTCCCAGACCAGAGGGGATACATAATCCCTCCAGTGAGTCCTGGATTTTCTCCAAAGGGCCAGACTTATTTTGAAAACGTTTTAAAATGCTTATTTCAGAACCGCAACTGAGACCACCTGGTGCGCAGCGCTGTGTCTTCTGAATAAATGAAAATGATTTAACACAGTTGTTTATACTTTTAGCAGCTCTTTTTATTCCACAGCTGACCTGCTAAAAATGACAGATTTTCTTTTCTGGATCTCTGACAGACGGACTTCAATCTCTGAACTCGTAAAGTTCTTCTTTTTAGTTTTCACTGTCATTTTCATGAATGAACACTTCCTGATATCTGGGGCAGGAATCATAGCCTTATATGGTGTTTTTGGGGTGGTAATTATGCTAATCTCCTCTCCTCGTGCACGAGCAGCTGGATAGAACAGGTGGAATTTACGCAGCTCATTTACACACTTTTCCTGAAGATAGAAGAGTTTGTTGAATCTGACGTGACATGTTCGTACGAACCCTTTGTACGAACAAAAGTAAGAGAAATTTAGGATAAGAATACGAACATGTTCTTGCATGAGGCCCAATGTTTTTACCCCAAAAACAAACCTTCAGGACACATTGGTTTTCAAGCAGCTATGTTTGATTTTTAAATATTAAAATAATTTGTATATCGTCAGACGAATTACTTGAAAGGAAAAAAGTTTATCCAAATTAATGTTCTAATTTTTGACCAGTCTGTAACAAAGTAAATGAAAAAGTTCATTTACACAGCTTTGGGTGTGCTGGGTTGTTCTCGTGATTCTCCAGGTAGATGGTGTATCTGGTGATGCAGCCCCGGCGCTGAAGCCTGGGCAGTTCCATCCAAGTAACTGTCACTTCGTCGCCTTTCACCTGTTTTTCGACTGATGGACCGGTTTCTGGAACTGCAGAACAACATAAACAAGACTAAATGCAGTATAATTACTCCTTTAGATCAGCATCACTGGTTTGAACCTGATTTTAAACATTGTTGTAAAGTTAAAAGTCAAACCTGACTCCAAAGTTGCAGTTTGTTTAAATCTGCTCCTGCTTATCAAGCTGTCGTTTGAGAAGGCGTTCACCGCTCCTTCATAACACTCCCATGGTTTCAAGTCTGCGTTAGGAAGAGAACATGTTTCAGAAGTGATTTGTTTCCTGATCCTCTCTAAGTCTGGACTCTAAAGTCTCACCTGTGAGAACCACACGGGTGTGGTTTTGGTCCAGTCGGACCCATCGGAGCTCCTCCAACATCAGGCCCTCTGGAAACCACTCCACCACGTATGCAGTGGCTGCAGTTTCAGGTTTTGTCCAGGAGATGGCAACAGTGGAATTGATTGATTTTGCTCTCACATCTARAAGAGTCTCAGCTGTAAAAGACAAAAACATACAGCGTTGCAACTAAGGGGACTTAAAGGGGCAATATGATGTAAAATCAACTTTTTTGAGTTTTATATCATGTTATAATGTTAAACTCTAATAAAAAAACATCCCAAAGCCTTGCTCTGACTCATTCATCATGTTTGAGAAATCCTGCAGTGTTTTTATGAAGCCATGCTGAGGAGCAAAACTTCCTCATGGCAGAGCAC